AGGATCCTTGGCAGCCAATAGCTTCAGCAGAAAGCCGAAAACTTCAAGGAAGGCGAAAGCCGTAGTGGCGATGAGGTGTGCACTTACGACGGCGCCGCTCAAAGGTTCCAGCGCCGCCGCTCCCTGCCGGCGCAACCAAAGGCAAGCAATTTGAGAAGAAGCAGAGTACAAGTGTCCGAAGGAGGAAGGACACCTGCAATTGGGTGCAAAAGGCACCAAATTTCGAGTTCGAAGGTAGGAGTACCTTCTTTAGTTGGTCGATGTAGAAGGGCTCCACGAATTTTCTCAACATCAGCGCGGAGGGGCCAGACGATCGCAACGAAGAGCACGGAGACAAGGACGGCCGTCCACGCAGCGCCGGTGCACCCCCAGCCGCAGGCGATGAGCGCGGCAGCAACGCTCGCCAGCAAGACCCACATACTTGCAATCCACAGGCACACCACGGCGTCGGCGGCGGCCAGGGCGAGCCGGCTAATGCGGACCACTGGCACCGGCGGAGGCGGAGGCGGCGCCGGCATCACCACGTCGACGGCGGCCATGGGAGTGGGCTCTCGAAGCTTGCCTTCCTAGCTAGTCCTAGCTTCGCAATGTAGGCGGAGGCGCTGATGAGGCTGAGCAGACTTGGGGAAGAGCAACAGGAGGAGAATGGGGGTTTTCAGACTTGGGGAAAAAAGCAACGGCGGCGGCGAGCAGAGGCTGAGCAGAATGGGGGTTTTCAGGTGCCCAAGCCCGTGTCCTGATGGATGGATATGCCCAGTCGTAGTTTACAAATAGCCAAAATATGTATATTATATGCTCCCAGACCTTATTTGCCTTTGCTTATTTAGATTACAGAGAATGCAAATGAACAGACTTCTCCTTGGTAAAAAAAGAGGAAATTATCTTGCTAAGATCTAAATATTCATGCTAAAGGTATTTTGATGCTAAAATTTTAATACCTTACGTTTAGCATGAGCAAATGTGGGTTTTGATGCTGAAGTCATGGAGTAGATTATAATACATAGCAGCAATGTAGCTGGCTGCCTAAGAGTATACTCCTAACTGATAGCTGACATTCCTATCTCTGACAGAGTATATCATAGTTCAACCTATATCTCCAGTTCCACGAACATATACACTATATAGAGCTATATGCCTGTTGACTTTAGATTACACATGTTCAGACATTTGCCTTTGTTCAGTTCAATTCATACCATTAGTTCAGGACTTCAGATATAAACCTAAATTCATTACATTCTTACAGAGATTAATTCTCATGCTGAAAAATGACTCAGAGAGCTAGTGCAGCAGTGCTTCACTGCTTGTGCTTATGAACAACCAATGCCTTTGTGTTTGTCCTGGTTCTGTGAAGATGACCTATGATGCTGCAACCGGAAATGTATTGATTTCATATTTGAGAATTAATGTCTTTTTGTTTGGTGCTTTGCACCTTTTACTAAATTACTTGATTTTTCAGATGGATAAATATGTATACTTGCTACTATGCTAGAATATGTATATTTTTGGTGAAACATTATAAAACCCTTTAACTCCATGTAAACGTCTAAACAGTCTATATGCTAAATGAAGGGTGATCGACGGTTACCATTTAGCATTTAAGATAACATAGCACCTAATTGTTTTTCATCTTCATTTTCATTTTGGGACGGAGAAATTACTCAATTAAATTGAGAGTACAATTGCATACCTATTGACATCCAAGCTTCTAGACACACTACACTAGCTTTTATCGAGAGCCATCTAACAACATTGTCCACCTCTAAAAGATGTCATCAACGATTGCCTAGTTTCAACTTAGCAACACCAACGAGTGACATCAGAGTACCACCTTCAATCATTGCGGCGATAGGTCCCAAACCTTAGCAATGTCACATAAGTCAATGCTTGCATTGGCCACCTTGAATATGATCAAGGGATCATATCATTCTGTCACCATACCAGCCATGTTAGAGCTGGAAGCTCGAATAACTTCCCAGTGATCGCGAGATCATAACCAACGAGCTAATGACACAAAGATACAAATGGGCCAACACAACCATCCCCACCAATCGCATCAACCCGGCGAAAAATAGAAGTGACGTGAAGAAACACCAGGGCAATAGGCATCTGCACAGGAGGTTTCTACAAGAAATAAGGTCAAGATACGAATTGCCGTAGGTAGTGCATAGGTCACAATTTATCCAATATAAACCCTATACCCCTACTGCCGGTGAAGCCACCACATTAGGAGGAGGGGAAGCGTATTGGTCGCGCCTAGAGAACCCCTAGGATGGCGGCAGTAGAGAAGCCATTTAAGTATTGTCATCTTTCTCTACCGATGTAATCTTACTCTTGTGAATCATAACCATTAGCATTCACTTTCTAAATGTGTTCTCTAACATGTATCCAGACTCACTGATGTCTCTAGCAATCATATATCCATGTCCCATCACATCATATGAGTCAAAACCTAGTAATACGAGTCACAATCGAAGTGATGGTTTTTGTTAGTTCGCTTTCATACCATCACTTCATTTCCTTTCCACATTTTTCCATAAACAGTCATCCCCCCTACATCCATCACAACTCAATAATGTGACAATGGCCATGTACATGTCTCCAACCATATCACATCACCAATTTACCCTTTGTTATTGCATAAATTTCCAACAATATTTTTACCATCAACTCTATTAAAACTGACATTGAAATATTATCACCACTGGTTAGTGGTTTGAACCGGCCATGAAAACCAGCTCAAGTGTATATACGCCAAACCCTCCCTAACCCCTCATCCTCCGCCATCACCGCCTCATCTCCCCCACCCACACACACCCCACCTCCTGCCCCTATGCCCCTCCTCCCCCACTCCTCACCATGTTGCTCACTCCACCGTGGCAGTGTGGCCTAGGGAGGTGATGAAGCGCAGCAAATCTAGCCTAGGACAACAGATGACGACAAAGAACAAGGCTTGTAGTCAAATCCATCCATGTAGGACGTTTAAAAAAATGTGACCAACCTAGGCATTTTTTCATTAAGAACAAGATAAACACCCAAATACATGTTGAAGATGACTCGAACTAGGGTGGTTATGTGCATGACCACACCTCCCACCCAATCAGGTAGGACAAATGAAAAAAAATATATATGTGCAGAACTGTAAAACAAATCAAGCCAAATTAACATCTACAGATTCAGAAATATTAAACACATCCTACATCATGAACTAGAAGTAAGCTGAGCAATATTAGATTTGCTAAGAGAAATCTGCAGAAGAAATTTATAATAAATTAACTAAAGCCAAGATCATAGCATGTCCAGTGTGATATTGCATCCAGATATGCATCTTCTCCTGCTAGGATGTTAGTTACATTGATTAAAAAGCACGAGCTCATTGTCACTTCTGGAAGTACGTGTTCCAGAAGCATAGGATACACCATAGTTTCAAATTTGCAGAATTCATAGCATAGGGGATACTTTATGCTAGCAGTAGATCCACAATGAAATAAGATAAATTTTCGTAGATAAGAAGATACAAAAAAGAACTAATATTTTCAGCAACAAAGCATAGGTACTCGTAGTCCTCCATCTTCACAGCTCTTTCTCCACTTCAAGGCTTTCTACAAAAATGAAGTCAAACATCTTAATCAGAATAGGTGCATAAAAATTGGATCCATATCGCATCACAAATATTTTAGATTTCACCTCAAAAGTATTTTAGACTCCAATATTTAGAAAATATAAGAGGTTAATGTGTAAAGATTGCCTAAGGTAAAACTTTTGCAAGCTTGCTCACATAAAAGTCAAAACAGCCAATGTACTGAAATAAAACTGATGGTAGGGTGCTGATCTAATCAGTACTACTTCCCCTACATAACCAATTAGTTAACAAACATGTCTAGACCAGGAGTGACCAACAGTGAAAATCTCTTGGGTGGTTGCTAATAGAGTTGTACAAATGGGTTTTACATGAATCAAAGGGTTCAAATACTTGAGTACAACTATAATAGAGTTGTACAAATGGATTTTACATGAAGCATTTTCCATCACGATTTCATCTCTTCAGCATACTAATTAAGATGCTCCTGAATTTTAAGGAGTAGAATCAACATACTTGTAGCTAGTGGCTGGTACCCTGTAGCTTGATTGCATCAAGCTATTTAACCGCTCTAATGGTGACCATTTGGGAAAAAATTAGCAAATATTAGCTGAATCCTATCCCATACATTAAACTTGCAAGCACGGTTGGAATGCATGTTCATGCCCCAATTTGCAAACGTACCTTTCACTAGTGAGCAGATTACTTTAATATTTGTGTAGTTGTTATATGAGGAGAGCAGACAAGCACGATTATTTGTGTAGTTATATAAGGAGAGCAGACAAGCACTATTCTTTCATTTTTATCATGCAATTGAAGTTATATCAAGAACTATCATATTGAACTATCAACAGGATTCCTTACCAATTGCATTCAGTAAATAAGCAGCAGTTCAGATAGATAAGGGTGAAAAGAGATGACACCAAACTACAAAACCTCTGTGCTCAAGTACATTTTCTTTTAAAAAAATAGAGCCGATGAACAGATCACAGAGACAACATTAAACTAGACAATGATTAAGTACAGAAACTGTTCCCACCATGTTAATTTACTTATGTATGAAATTGAACTTTTATTTCCATTGTTCATCTAAACATAGAAGCATGGTGTGGAGACAAAATAAACAGAACAAGCTACAAGGACTCTATAACAACTTCCACTCGATGACAAAAGAGTTCCTAATGAAGATCTTTATGCACAAATTTCTAAGAACGGTTCAAAACCTGTAAAACGTCACTAGCTGGTAGCTGAACATCTGCATCATTGCTCGCAGACATCAAGGGGAAACTAAACCTAATTTCATAGAACAGAGTTTCCACTGTCACCTGCAGGTGAGTTGAGCACATCTATGACCACTTTAGTCAGATGAGCATTACTCCATTCTACAAAACTTAGTAGAATCTCGTTAAGGGGAAGGAATGGTTCAGTTATTCATGCTTAACCGTTGAAATTCCAAAATCGATAAAGTGATAGCTAAAACCAAAGGAATTGCTTGCTCAAGGTTTCTGTCAACAGGCTGCATCCTGCACAGGAAAAGTTTGCACAGACAAAAAAAAAATGCCGCACAAACACAGGAGCCTCAGAGCAAAGGGTGGTGATACCTCAACTGCATACCACATCACAGAGCATGTCGCGCCATCCTCCAGGCCCTCCAAATCCTCACTGTCATAATGGGGCATGAAACGAAGCAATTCCCCAAGACCGTGCCAAATGCTCCCACGTCATAGATCACTAAACCCATTCTCTCCCGACGAGACCCCATCACGGGCGAGTCCCCCACTTCACCAGAGCACCAATGAGCATGAGCAGGGTGAACGCCAGTAAAGCGAGTCCAAGAGCGACACACAGCATGTCCCGCATTGCCGCATACGATGTCTCCGGAGCAGGCTCCTGGACCGGAACCAAAGGCAATTAAATCAAGACTAAAAATTATGGGTATGCAATAAAAGCTTCCAATTTCAGGTGACACCTATCGTATTCGCATCGCCGCGGCAGAAAAAATGGATACGCACAATTTTTTTTTCCTTTCCGCACCTTCGTTGCCTCAATGTCAGTGGCCGCTGCCGCCGCCGCCGCCTTCGTGAGGGCATCATCAGTGCCAGCAGTAGCACGCTGAAGGGGAGGACGAGCACAAAGGTGACCCCCACCGCTACAGAGACGACCTTGTACGCCGTGGTGACCACAGCGCAGCCCTCACCGAAGGCGAGCCGCCCGATTTCCTTGGTGGCCTGGCCCCAGAAGAGAAGCCACATGCTTGCGAGGAACAAGCAGTGACGGCGTCGACGGCGGCCAGGCGAGGTGGGTGCACGCCAACCACGCCACGGTGCGCCGTGCTAGCGGCGGCAGCGACGGATGCACCGCGGCGGCGGCGGCGATGGCCATGGAGGTGGGGAAACCCTAGGTTCTCGAAGCTTCTGCAGTGGTTGGCTGCGCTGTGTGTAATCTGTGCCAATTGAGCGGGGTGAGGAGGGAGAACGAACGCGAGAAGGGGGTTTTTTTGGTCGGCTGCGGTCGCTTATGAGTTATGACGACGGGGTTAGCGGAGCGTTTCCATTGCAAGGGCCTGCGCTTGGTAGCCGCACTCACGCTTATGGACGAAAACTACGATTACCGATAGCATCCCATGTCGAATAGGATATAATTAGATATCAACATCATAAATATGGGATTTGAGTATTCAGATATAAATACGGTATCAGATGTTGAATATGCAGACTCGATACGGACAGATCTGAACCTTTCTAAACAGATTCGATCTCGAATACGATCGGAAAATATCCGTACCATTTTCACCCGTACTCATGCTACTACAAGAATGCTTTTTGGAGACGGCAAATTCATAGGCAGGTTGCTCTGCTGCTGCTGATCACTTGATCACTGGAATAGTAAAATAACAGTGGGGCTCCTCTCCTGCCTCTTTAGTTCATATTTCAAAAAACGGGGTGCTTAAGATGCTCGTCTCTAAAAAATTATATAAAAAAACAAAAATTGAGCCCACCTAGCCACCGCGCCGTCAATCCATCCACCTCGCCGCCAAGCCCATCTAGCCACCTCGCCGTCAATCCATCAACCGAGGAATGGGCAGGATGGGCTCACCGATCCATCCACCTCCGCCTCCTCTTTCACCTCGTGTAAAGGAGCCTCGATGTAGCTAGGAAGGGGAGAGAGAGCCGCTGGAAGTATAAATGTCCATGCAACCCGAGGCACGGCGGCCCGACACGAAGCACGCAATTTTGGCCCAGACCAAGCACGGCAGACGGCCCGATGGTCGGCCGGGCCCAGTAGCCCGCTTGAGGAGGCAGCCGTGCACAGGCAGCTGCTTTCGAGCCCGTGGGCAGCACGGCACAACACAGCCCGCCCTTCGACCAGTCGGCCCGGCCCGACCGCCGCCCGCCTCCTCCTCCTCCTCCTCCCCTCCCCAAGGCCATCCTGCTCCCTTAGCCGGCCCACCCCACCCCTTGATCCCTAACTCCCTTCCCATCCCCTCCTTCGCATCCCTCCGCAGGCTCCCGCAGGTGCGACGTCGCAGCTCCCTCCGAATCCCTCCCGCAGGCGCGACGCCGCAGCCTCTCCCCGTGCGCATAACTCTCGGCTCCTGCAGGCGCGACGCCGCAGCCTCTCCCCCTCCGGCATCACTCGCGCAGCGCCGCAGGCCGTAGCTTCTCCCCTCCGCATCCCTCGCGCACAGTCCTGGATCTAGGCCCCGGACGCGCTGCCGGTGCCGCGCGGGACGCCCCTCCCTCCCCTTGGCCCTCGCGCACGGGCGTCGATGCCGCACCCCCACGTGGGCGCCTCTCCTCGCCTCCCACTCCGTGGCCGTGACAACGGGGGTTCCGTGGTGCGAGAGACCGGTGGGCGCGTTGGCGGAGATCGAGCACCGCGCTCCTCCTTCCCCTCCCACCTCTGCGCCACAGGGCGCCGACACCCCTCCGTCTCCTCGCGGTGTCAAGGGCCCCAAGGAAAGGTCGCCGCGGCCATCTTGCATCTCCGTGCTCGCCGCTTCCTCCCCCCCTCTCTCTCTCTGGCTACTCGCGCTTCATCGTGGGCCCGCCCTGGCCCAAGCACGCCTGATGGGTGGCCGTGCTTCTCGGGCGGCCAGCCCGATAACAACCCGGCCGCCGTGCTCAGGCCGTGGGTCGAGCACGGTGCCCGCCTCGGCACGGCCCGGTAGGCACGACGTGCCTTGCCGGTCTGAACCCCATCGGGCCATGCCGGGCCGGGCCGGCCCGTTGGACATCTATAACCGAACGGGACCTTACAGTTTTCCATTCCGTCTGAGTTGAGGTAAAAGGCGAAGAAGCACACTCAGCAGCTGAGCGGAACAAGCTGCCAAGCTGAGACCACCGGAGCAAGCACGTCCTACCAGCGACGGCAATAATGGCCATGGCCGTGGCGCAGGAGCAGCAGCAGCGTGCCGGAGCCTCCGCCTCGTCACCTCCTCAACAGCGCCGTCGTGAGTCCGTCTCCCTTACCATCAGGCTCTGCCCCGCTGGAGTGCTCCCTCCCGCTCGCCTTCTTCGACGTCTTCTGGCTGAGCCTGCCGCCCGTGGAGCGCCTCTTCCTCTACCGCCTCGCCCTGGACGCCGACATCCCCGCCATCCTCTCCAACCTCAAGAACTCCCTGTCCCAGGCCGTCCGTGTCTTCTACCCGCTCGCCGGCCGCCTCCGGCTCACCCCGGGCATGTCCAACAACTGAAATAGAATGCTCCTTTTGTACGTAATTTTGGTTAGGCGACCATCATGTATTTGGTTGCATTAGGATACGTGCAACGCAAAGTGTGTATAGCGCGTAGGATTAAATAGGTGGGCCAAGTGCGGACAAGAAGAGAAAAAGGATAGGTAAAAGAAGTAAAAGAATAGGTAAAAAAAGTAAAAGAAAAGAAAATTTACCTAGGCGCGTGGACATTACAGGCTTCACTCCAGCTTGAGAATGAACGAGCATGGCGTTTCTTCTTTTCCTGGAGCAGCCATCCTCCGCGTCGACGCGTACCAAATTCGAAATCCCCCAACTCAAAAATTCCCGGCCAGTATAAAGCCGCAGCCGGTCCTGTCCCGTCCTCTCACGCATTTCAAATCCATTCGTTCTCCTCGATGTCGGGGTCTTATGCAGCGGCGAACCTATGATTTGACCACGACTAAAGCCAAATTTTGGCAGTTAAAAATAAAAAACGGCACCATTCTATGTCCTCAATAATGACTCCTAATTTGGATAACATTAAAATGTTAATAAGAAGAATGCCAAAAGGAACAAACAAAATATTTATTAAAAGCTATGTATTTGTATCCAAGGTTTTTTTTCGGAAATTAAAATTTATCGGAGGTCATAGATAATCAGGATAAGCATGATATATCGGAAATATCGGACTAAATTCAAAAAATTCAAATTTTTTCAAAAAAATTTGTAGAATTTGACTTAAAACTATTTCTAAACTATTAAACATCACTTATTCACAGATAAAAACAAGAATAAAACAATATGAGTGCATTAGATAGGTTCTACGCCAAACGTTGCTAAGTCCCACATATTACAGTCCATTCTATAGCATATATAATAAGGCCTACTACACTCAATAGCACATATTACAGTCCATTAGATCATATTACAGTCCATTAGATAGGTAAGTAGTCTCAAATTCATTACAAAATATAGGAGTGCACTAAAAGCTAATAGCACATCCACTGAAGTGTGCCATGCACCATCCAGATCTTTTCCTTTGATATTGAGCCTACACCTTAAAAAATATTGACATAGACAATTTTCAAACTCAATGAAATAAAATCACAATGACAATGCTGATGTTAGCATATAAAAGGGCCATCTGACCTTTTATAGGCCGTAGATGCTCTTGACAATCGGCTTTCTTTTCTTAGTTGATCTTGGCCGTAGAGGGGTTGGTTCCCCATGATTAACACCTACAATGTCAAATATAAATAACTCAAGAGCATAATTGTAGGATACAAAATCAACTATCACCACATGTATGCATTTTTATGTCACATGTGAGTTGATTTTAGTCACCTGAACCACCTGGTACATCTGTACCAGCTGTAGTACCACCGCTTCCATCACCAACATTATTATCACCTTCGCCAAAAAAAAGACAGACCAACATTTAAAATAATAACTACAGTCTATAGACAACAAATCCAAATTGTTGAAACTGATTTAAACTCATCATCACCTTCATCGTTCGAACTGCTATCCCCTGACTCGGCATACACTGGGCTACCATGTTCTTCTGAAGAAGTGTCATAGTCATCTGCAATACATTCATCATCTTCATCCAATTGCATCTTCCTTCTCTTTTCTTGCCCAATTGCATCTTCCGCTTAAATGCAGCTGACTATCTCTTCATCGTCCATGTGTAAACTTTCAATGACGGTTGCTAGGTGTTGACCAATCATCATCGCTATCATCATATTCATCAAGAATCGGTGTAGACTCACTCATAGAATTGTTCACCACTCCATGATTGGGTTGCCTTCATCATAAAGAGCAAGATCCATCATCATGCTACATGGATCGGGATCTTTTTCTTGAAAGTTCTGAAAGTCGACTTCAATTGTTGGATGCACACTTGATTATAATGCACGTACACCAATTTCTCCAACTTTTCATAGCCTAAACGATTTCTTACTTTTGTATGCACCAAAGCAAGCGTGCTCTAGTTTCTTTCACACCCACTTGATGATACGCATGGCGAGAGACAATGCGCCTTGCAATCCTTTGTAATTCGGATCTTGTCCTCCATAAGAACCCCACCATTCAGCTACAATTAATTAAAAAATTAACTTGACAAATGACTTACAAGAACATGATCACTATCGGGCAATTTATTTCGAGAGATATTGGTTGCACAGAGTAACAATGAGATCGATTACCTGCATTGGTTCTCGCTATTTAGTGCTGACCACCGAAGCTTCGGGTTCCAAATAACCCTCTCTTTTCAATGAACCGAGAAAATTGATCAATCACAAATGCTTCTTACGAAGTTGACTTTGCAAGCTTCTTGATTGCCATGGTTCTGACAAATTGGGAACTTGACTTTTTGCAAGGTTTGACCTGTACAATTCTGAAGGATCAAGTGCAGCAGCTACAAAGGTAAAGAAATCACTAATATTAGAAAGATAAGAACTGAAAGCGACATTACAAATTTAGAATGGATGCAAAGAAACATTGATTGAACAAGTTTCAGATCAGTCCATAGTGTTACCTGCATGAATAATTGTTCTATTGAGAATATATAGAAGC